CAGGGAAAAGAACAGTACCGAACTTTTCCAAGAATTGATGTGTGCTAGACAGGAGGAGAGCGAGAGTCCCCAGCAGTTCCTATATCGGGTCATAGGATTAAAACAGCGGGTCATGTTCACTTCCAAACTGTCAGACTCGGGAATAAAATACACTCCTGCTATGGTTCAAGATGTTTTTCTACACAGTGTACCAAGGGCTAGCATACAAACACAGTGACATTCGGCGAGAGTTGAAACCTTTGTTGCCATCTAGTGATGTTAGTGACGAAACCATTTTACGTCACTTAACAAGGATCACTAGTGAGAAAAGTGAAAGACACAAGAGGACGGGGTCTGCTCGCAGACATGCCACAGGTGCGCATAGTGCTCAGTTGGAACTCAACATAGTCCAGGAGTGTAATAAGGAAGGGAGCCATAGTCCCAAAACCAAGCCAGACTCGATCAAAGAACTCACAGCTAAGATAGAAGAGCTCACAAACCTGGTGGAGGCAATGAGACAACAGAGTCAGCTGCATGGGCCTGAGTCAGTTGTGCCTCCTGTCCAAAACAGAAGAAGAGATAGGAAGAAACCATATGGCTGTCCAAGCTGTGTGGAGGGAAATCGCTCTGATTGTTCACATTGTTTCTTCTGTGGGAAGGATGGTCACCGAGCTGTGGGCTGCTTACGTAAACAACAGAATCAGGGAAACACAGACCGATCGCTGCAGCGGGGCACCTAGTGATCGGATTAAAACAGCCCCAACCAGACAATTCACAAAATTTTGGGATTCAAACCAGCCATGCACTAAAACCCAACACGACGATGTTAGAAACTACACAAGCTCCTGTCTGTAAGCAAGGAGAGCTATCTCCTCAGCCTAAAATTGGTTCAGTCCAGTGTGCAAAACAAGGAACGCTTGCCAAACTAATTGGAAAAAAAGCATTGATTCAGTGCAATTTGAATGGTTTGGCTGTAACTGCTCTACTTGACACTGGCGCACAAGTCAGCATTATAAGTATGGATCGGAAGAACAAGTATTTGCCTGATCTTGCCCTACACCCATTTTCAGAAATCCTTGAGGAAATGGATGAACTGAAAGTTTATGCGGTGAATGGTGACCTCATTCCATTTGATGGCTGGGTACCCATAGTGATAAATTTTCCTGGGAGCGAAGACCCCAACCTGTCTATCGGTGTTCCACTATTAATCAGCAGTTTGCCCATGGAGAGACCACTGATTGGTTTTAATGTCCTGGAACAAATAACTGAGGGAAAAAGCTATACCAACAATGGTCAAGTTACTCCACAATGCCATCTCTGTTGACCCTGAAAGAGCTGATCGAAGCACTAGTGAGCTTTATCCAAACAAAAGGACCAAGCCAGCCTCATTGTCCTCTAAGGATAGGAGGAAAATACATGGTTATTCCTGCTCAAAGAGTCACTTGGCTGAAATGTCAGCTGTCAGCGACCATGGGTTACTCTGATCATCCAGTACTGTTTGAAGCTGAAGAGGGCAGTCAGTCCTTAGAGCAGCTTGAAGTGTGCACAGGATTGTTAAACATAAAGCAAGGCACCAAGCCCTATGTAATGATCACAGTAACTAATGACATTACCTTGCCAAAAACAACATTTCTAGGCACTCTACAGCCTATTGAACGGATCTTGAATGTCGAATGTCCAAACCAACCTATTCCAGATGTGGGAGTCAATAACATTATTGCTGGCCCAACTGAGTGTACTCCACCTCTCTGGCACCCACCAGTAAACCTTGACCATTTGACAACAGAACAACAAGAGGTTGCCAGGAAAATGCTCTATGAGGAGTCCAAAACCTTTGCCAGAGATTCAAGTGACATAGGATGCATCCCAACCCAGATGGTAATCAATTTGAAGGACGAAATTCCTGTGCAGAGTGTATTATTTGACCAATCAAATGTAGTCCTTCTGATATGCGGCCAATCAGATGGTCCGTTCACGTAATACGCCCGCCCCTTACGTAGACCCTTTTGGAAAGCCACTCCCGAACATAGTTTGAGGCGCTGTTCCCTTGTTTGTCATGCTGACTCAGAGCAACACTTTGTGCTGATGTTTCTGGATTCAGCGCTGCTTTCAAACGTGAACGTGAGTCCGTTCGGTGTCATTAATCATTTTTACCAGGCTGACTCCAACATGTGCCGGTGAACCAACCCACCTTCATGTCGCTAGTGTTAGCCCCAGGCTCCGGTTAGCTTCCAGCTAAAAGGCTACAGCACTCTCCTCCCAGTCCCACCCTGCTAAAGAGGGCCTGGAAAAGTTCCCCCACACATCAAAGTGATTTTTCATTTATGAGCTTTTATAACCTTGTTAATCAGGATTGTTGATTTGCTGCTGCACATAAACTGTCAGTCAGAAGCTCTGCTAGCCGGTTATCTTAAGAGGAGCTAGTTCAATTTGTTAGCTTGTTATCAGAATCATAGTTGCAGTTTCATCATCTGAGCTGCTTTTTAAGATCTAGGTAAACTTGTTCAATTTGGGGTAAAAAAAAAAACAAATGTTTTCACATGTTTTCCATGTAGTTTTTTGCCAGTTCCTCTTCTGAAAGGTAGATAATTGTTTTTTATTTTCCCTCAGAAAATCTTAATATTCTCCTAGTTTGGCCCAGCACAGTTCACTTCCCAATTACAGCAACAGCCTTATATCATAACCACATAAGTGGAGAAAATGCTCAGTAGCAATGAGAGAACTTGCTGTTGCATTTAAGTGATGTTAACTATTATTTAACATTTAAACTTATTTTCAGATATTTTTATTTATTCAAAAACCCTGGTAAGGGATGTTTTTCTGTATTTGGAGCATCAGAAAAAGTTTTATGGTGGTGGTGATGTTTTAAAGTCACTGAGAAACTGCATGCATGCAGTTTGTTGTTTTGCTGCTAATACAGTAGCAGGTGCAGCTGCATATTTTTGCAATAGAAATGTTATGTTGTAATGGAATTCATGCATTAGTTTTTGTTTGCTTTGAACCCAGAGCAGCCATCACACGCCAGACGACATCAACACTGCATTCTTTAGTATTTGTTCATTTATCGCGAGTAATATCGATATCGCAATATTAAGCACTGTTATCGAATATCGCAGGTTTTCCTAATATCGTGCAGCCCTATTAGCAAGTCAAATATTGACTCTTCTAATCAGGACATTGTCAGCTGTTCCCTGGACGTTAAAACATCAGTCTTCCCCAGTCTTCTGAACTGTATTGGAATGTTTACTTTGTGGAGTGCCTCGAGACCTAGGGCGCCCCCAAGGGCGCCCCCAAGGCCACCCCTAGAAAATTGCGACTCTTGTTGTGATTTTGCGCTGTATAAATAATAATGATAATTATTATTATTAATTGAATTGAATCGAAACTGAATTCCCCGTCGTGAGCCAAGATAGATGAGTTCATAAATGTTAAGTTACATTGTGACACAGATCTTTCAGGCTTTTCAAATCCTAGATTTTCACTGTGTATTTTCTCTTAGAAACTGAAAAACCCAGAGTGACTGATTATAATCAGAAACATTCATTAAAAATGTTTTTTTTTCTGAGTTCCACACATTTAATACTTTGTAGAAAAATATTCTAGACCATTTCTAGACGCTTCGTGAATGGAGAGACCAGTCATCTGCATTGCTCTGGAGTGATTCTGGCCCATTCTTCCTGTCTTGAAGATTGCCAGGGCCTCTTTTATGAACTTTGATCTTCAGTTCTCTCAATAGATCTTCTATGGGATTAAGGGAGTGGGGTTTCTCTCTCATTACTGACAGACTTCAGGTGATCTCCTTGCTTTATGCCATTTTGCACCTTGTTATCTTCATGTGTTTAATTCTTTTTCCCTGTGTCTTTTCACTTTATTACACATAACTCAATTTATGGACTGTGTATTAATGAGTAAGACTTGTTGCCAAAACAGAAGTGCGACAGCTTCTATCCACAGATAACAACTCCCAAGACATTGATTCAAACTAGAGACCACAGCAAACTTATATACAAGAGTTTAATCTGAATGAGAGTGCAGAAGCTTGCAGCTTTGGCCTTTCTGCATGGAGTTAGCATCTTCTCCCTATGCATGCATGGGTTTTCTCTGAGTACTTCAGCTTCCTTCCACAAATTTAAAAAAATGCATGTTAGACTGATTGAAGACTTGATATTTCTGTGTGTGCGTGAGTGAGTGAGTGAGTGAGTGAGTGAGTGAGTGAGTGAGTGAGTTAGTGGTTGTTTGTCTCAGTGTGACAGTGTGATGGACTGGAGACGGGTGTCTCCGCCTCTCACCTGATCACTGCTGGAGACAGGCACCAGCTCCCTGTGACCCTTGTGAGGATGACGAGATAGATAATGGATGGATAAATGGATGCTGTAAAGAAAAATTATACAAAGTGCCAAACTATTGCAAAAATGCCAAGACAGAGTTTACACCTGAAGAGGCACAAGCCAAACACAAAAGCAGCCACCACCCCCTCCAGAGAGAGGCTGTAGTGTAGATGGAGAGTATGAGTTCAAAAGAGAAAAATGCAACTCTTGAAACACTGAATAGCTTATTTGCAGTGTTGCTATTGCAGTTTGGTTGTCCTATATGTCCTCCAGATTCCTTTAGAACTATCTCCCTTTTTCAATTGGCAATCATCTTCTTCCTGCTGCTTCTCCTCCTGTGTCTGACATTCTCCCTGACCTCTGTACTCTTCATCTGGAGTCTGTCGTTCCTCCATTTCACCTCTTAAGCTGTCTCGCCTCAGTGGCTCTTCCCTCAGACATGTCATCATCAACGTTGCAGGAGATTTGATACAGTTAAAAGAAAGATGCATTTGATGGCTCTACTACTAAACTGATCTGATGGATGGTTTGGCTTCATATTCGATGCAAGGGAATGACACCAAAACCAAATTAGAAAGATGAAGACTGTTATTTAATCCATTATTTTGAGACTCATAGAAATGCATCACAATAATGATTTTGGTGAGCTGTGTGTGACAGTCTGATGAAATTCTGTACCTGCTTCATTCCTACCTGAAGAACAACAGGATGAGCACGGCGACAGCCAGCACGCCCAGAGAGATGCTGTACCCGATGGTGTAAATCAGCTTTACAGTGGCGAAGTAAGACTCTTCGGTCTAAAAGCAAGACAAGAAGGAAGTGTTTTTACATGCAAAGGCATGATTTTGAAACATCAAAGCTTCTCAAAATTCTGTCAGGCCTCAAAATGAACATAATGTCTCAAAATAAGACCAAATAACCGTCAAACTTGAGATGCAAACGCGCAGAAATGATGACTGAAATAACAGCAAGAAAGCTCCTTCTATCCTAAGCTTTCTGAACATTTGAAAGGCCGTTTACATCAAAACAAGGGCTGCTCGAGCTGCCACCAACGCCGGTGTCTTCCAGAAGCAGCATCACGATTTGTAAATAACATCATTTCAGTTATTACAATCTAAGTGACTTGTGACAGCCTTGACAGCTGAATAGATCAATGCTAGCCAGTAGGTCCACACATTTAAATTTGAAAAGGAACACATGCATCTGTTGAGACACTGAGCAGATTTCTTGTTTTTAGCCTATATGGGCTCTTGCTTCTGCAGTTTGGTCGTCATTCCATTTGTCCTCTTGTTCTCCTCTTTCACATTTGTTGCCCTGTTCTTTTCTGACATCCACTCAGACCTCTGCTCTCTTAATCTGGAGTCCGTTTAACCTCTTATTCTGTCTCGTCTCAGCGACTCTCACCTCAGGAATGTCATCTTCCACACTGCAAGCAACATGATATGGTGGGAAAGGCTTTGACCAGCCTCGGCTTGTGCAGTTTCGGCTCACTGATCCTACAAATCAACAGGAAGACATCATAAAGTTAGCAATGCAGCTGAGAGTTTAGAATTTTGATCAAGAGAAGGTTGCTTCAGAGTTAAAATGTCTGTCATTCATACCATTTGATTGAATTTTGCTTTTTTCCAAGTTCTCCTTGCAGAACAGTTCGTAACTTTTCTGGTTTTTATTTTTTCTATTTTTAAAACAAGTTAAGCATTGTTTCCCCACTATAAAACTAGAGTTTTGTCTGTTCTCTGATTTAGTTTTGAGCAGCGTTGTGTTGCAAGTGAAAAGTGGCGTTACAGAAAGAAAGAGATTTTCCTACGGTTTTTAAAAATGCCGTAATAAAGCCGATATTGAAAAAAACAGGTTTGGATCATTCCATTTACGATAATTTCCGTCCCATCTCAAAAGTCCCATTTCTTTCAAAGGTTTTGGAGAAAATAGTTCACATGCAAATCTTTGCTCACATGGACAGTAATTCATTGTTTGATGTGTTTCAGTCTGGTTTCAGACCACACCATAGTACCGAATCAGCCCTGATTAGGGTGCTAAATGACATCCTGGTGGCATCAGATGCTGGGTCTAAGGTATTACTGCTCTTGCTAGACCTTTCACCAACTTTTGATACTGTGGACCACCATGTTCTGCTGGACCGTCTTGAGACTTGGGCTGGGGTAAAGGGGGTTGCACTTGAATGGTTTTGCTCCTATCTATCTAACAGATCTATTACTGTTCAGATTGGAGATTGTTCCTCCTCTCTCCCTCTGCCTTGGGGTGTGCCTCAGGGCTCTGTTCTGGGGCCTCTCCTTTTCTCTATATATCTCCTATCACTGGGCAAAATCCTACATCGGCGCAGTCTTAACTATCACATCTATGCTGACGACTGTCAAATATACGTGGCACTAAAAAATGGAAATGTGGACTCTCGTCTTGCGACATGTCTGGCAGATGTAAAGAGCTGGCTAGCGGCCAATTAGCTCTGGCTGAATGATTTAAAGACTGAGTCCCTTGTCTTTGATACCCACAATCCTTCTGGCTCTCATTCCACTTTTGATGGTTTAAACCCTAAGAAGTGTGTAATAAGCCTCGGGGTAAAAATGGATGCCAACCTCTCAATGACTCCTCAGATCAACTCAGTGGTGAGGTCTTGTTTTTATCAGTTACGTCGCCTATCTCATTTAAGACCGATCTTAAAGAGGAAGCACTTGGAATCAGTCATCCACGCTTTCATCACCTCTCGCTTAGACTATGCTAATGCATTATTAGTTGGAACTCCTGTCTCTGCCCTGAACCAGTTGCAGGTTGTCCAAAATGCCGCTGCTAGGTTTTTAACAAACACAAGTCGACATAGCCACATTACACCAGTCCTGAAACGTCTTCACTGGCTCCCCATCACATTTGGTGTGCGTTTTAAGATATTGATGTTTGTTTTTAAAGCCCTACACCACCTAGCTCCTCCTTATCTGTCCGACCTGCTGACTCCCTATGTACCTACTCGTATGTTGAGGTCAGCTGACCGTCTACTGCTTTGCATTTCCAGATGGCCTACAAATCACGAGGTGAACGTGCGTTTGTCCATGCTGCCCCCATGCTCTGGAACTCATTGCCCATTACAGTTAAGCTGGCATCCTCTCTGTCTGTTTTTAAATCTCGTTTAAAGACCTACTTTTATGACTTGGCTTTTAGACCGTGATTCATGTTATCGTATTATGATTTTATAGTTTTTAATTGTTGTGTTTTATCTTATTGTTTTTACTTTTGTTTTAATTGATCCTGCCTGTTCAGCACTTTGGTCAGCTCTCATGCTGTCTTGTATTGTGCTATAGAAATGGTATGGTATGTTAAGATAAGCAGGGATGTGTGTTAAAGCTGCGGTCCGTAGCATGAAGTCATCACAATGAAGAGAAGATTTTGAAATCTGAATGGCTACAGCTCCTCCTCCCCTTCTGGAAGAAGCTGAAAAGCATGTTTCACACCACGTATGTGGGCACAAACAGCCTTGTAACTCTAAAGCCTCGTAATGCTGTGGCCACTTGTTTTTGATGTGTTCCTGCTCAGACACACCTGATTTTAACAGTTGAATTATCCCCTCAGCCTCCATCGGGGTTCTGCAGGAGCTAACTGCTCATTTTAATAAAATCTGTATTTAATCAGGGAAACGTCTAAAATTGGCCAGAAACCACAGGACTAGCGATTTTTGCTAATACTAAAACAAGCTAAAATAACAGTCTCATGTAATGCAAGGTTGAACACTACACTAGTCACTTAGCTCCATTGCACAAAAGATTAATTCATTTGTGTTGCCCTTCTTCCTCTTCCACAGTTAGCATGACGTTTAAAAACTGACTGCAGCTGAATACAGCTCGAGTTAGCATTCAGGCTAGGTTTGCTCGCTAAGTCGCCACACCATCAGCCCCACAGTGCATACTGGGAACTGTGGCCTTTCTCACTGGGCAGCTCTCTCTTGTGGATATATAACTCTAGGTCAACGCGGTAGGCTCTAGTAAATCATTTAATTTGCTGTAGAAGCCAGGGGAGGGACTTAGGGGAAATGTAAATTATGAAAGATTACCTACTTTAAATCATAGAACAGCGCCACATAGTCACATTTAACCATTTTTGAAGTAACTTTAAAAATATTAAACTATACCCCAGCTTTAACCTTTAATATTTTTCTCTACAAGACTCTTATTTTCTCCCACATATTAATTCATTTATTTGCTGCAGGATTGGGTTTGCAGCTAAATTAACCTCACGATGGTCTGGAAACATGTACCTGCCTCTAATCTCATTGTACAGTATACCTGGGAGACATCAGAGATAGTCTGGCCAAGGCAATAAGTACTAAAGTAAATATTTTGTTAGGATAAAACAGGTTTGTTTGGATTTAAGCTGAAAATAGTCAGAATTCTCATAGATTTTCCTAAGGACTGATTCTTATCTTTTGTGCTGCATATTCTTGTGAACATGTTAGAAGACTGACATCATGCTGCTTTCATGTCTTATCAGAGGAAATGTTCCTCCTGTGAAATGTCAGCATCTATATTTTAAACAGCAACAAGAGAGTTTTATATTAGCCTGAAAGCTTTTACAAGATGCTGCTACACCAGCCGAAACACGGGTGACTGTTCAGGCTGATCTGTTGTTCAATATTAAATTAATCAACTGAAAATAACTTTGACTTGTTTTTTTCTCAGCACTCTTATGACGCTATCATCATAGAAACCTTCAAGCTCACTCAGAAATGATGCCTGTGAGTCATCCAATGTCAGTACAGATGTTGCACAAAAACATCTCACACGCATTTAACCTGCAGCTCTCTAAACATACATCTCTTTTGCTCATTTTCTTGAATGCTCTGCATTGCATAGCATTTTCGTAAACACGCTAGTTTATAATAAATAACTGTGAATGAACAAAATAATTAAATAAAAGCACCTGATTTCTGCCGAACGAAATTTCAGCTAGGGTTTAATTTTACATCTGGATGTGATTAGTCAGTAGCTCACCAGTGTTGTTCCTGAAAAGGGAGAAAACTGCAGGACAGCCTCTCTGGACAGTTTCCCCGGTGACTGCCTGAGGCCAGCAGGCGACAGCATCCCAGAACGGCTGACAACCTTTTAAGAGATTTACAAGGAGAAAGGTTAAACCTGTTGAGTAATAAGAGCCTAAAACACACATTTGGTGCATTAAATCAGGGAAAATCATTGCAGACAAATGGAACTAACATTTCTTTTGTTGCTAATTCACTAAATATTACTATACTATTCACTAAAATGGTATAACTATGTTGAAAATCATACTGCAACTATCCGTGATGCTTTAATCAGCTGATGAATCAAAGTGATAATGACATTCAAAGGCAATGAAAATTATATTGGGCAGCTAATGATTCTCTGTGACGTATTTAGTGTATTTATTAAGTTTAATGTATTTTTTCAACTTCAAATTGCTACTTGTGAATTTCTGAGCTGCCGGTTGTTTTGAACAAATGAAAAAACACCTTCTGAGCTTCTGTTTCCCTGCTCAGTGATGTACTGAAGGCAGTAGCGCTCCTCTCTCTCCAGCTGAAATATGTATTCACACTCAGGATGCAGACGGGATGAAGCCTGGGAACAACAAAAAACAACGTTTTTTAAACACGTTCAAACATAAAATTTATTCTAATACATGACTTCTGCAAAAAATATCAATTATACAGTGTAGTACATTAAAAATAAAGTCCACATCCTCTAAAAGGGCAGTGACTCGTGTAGCTTCCTGCTAAAACAGTGCTGTTTTGGCGAAACACACCCATTTTTGTTGGTGACATTAAACGCAGCAATCTTTCAATATAGTGCTCAGATGTGAGGGGTGTTAGGATGACTCATTAAAAGAGTTTGTCCCAGAGGACACAGAAGATTATCTTTGCTACCATCCATATTCCTCAGCTTGTTTGTTTCTTCTTGACAAATAAAAACAAGAGTAACCATGTTTGCATCTGACTGGTCGGAGAACTATTTCAGGCTGACAAAGATAAATACATTTACGTTTCTGAAAAGGCCATGGCTAGATGCCAGGTAAGATAGACTGAAGAGGGGGCATGGAAGGAATGTTTAGTTAAATGTTTAGATGCAGTGAACTTTGAAATAAATATAACTTTACATGAAGGTTTGATTTAGGGAGAGGGGTGTTTTGATCAGACTGAATGCAGTGAAACAGCGTGGACTTGAGTGCAGAAGCCTCTTGTGAACACTTGTGTTGAGTGTCTGTATAGTGAGAGGTTTCCACAACACAGAAATGCAAAAGCAATGGTTCAAAGCAGCGAGATATGTATGGGACCATTTAAAAATGATTTAATTTTCCATTTTGGTCTGAAAAGTGAATCTCATGCAGAAGTGAAAACATACCTGCTTGTTTTGTTGTTTTTATCAGTCAGCAGGAAGCAGTTCCCATTTTTATCAACAGACTGTATTGAAGCGATAAGCAGGTGTGAAAACGTGCAAATCCCACTCAAGACCACCTGGCACTTATCCAAAAATATCTCTTTTTCCACTTTAAAGCTGTAAAATTTACTTTCTTCTTGCGATTTTTCAGATTTTAACATAAATTTGGATATATGAAGTTTCAACAAGCTCAAAAAACAAACAGTTAGTTTCCAATGCAAACTTTTATTTTAAAAAAGCTCAAGCCCAGAAAGGAAAAACCCACCTCCACCACTTTTATCTCTTTAGAACATTTTACAGTTTATTTTTCAGATTGTACAGATTTTTTATTTATGATTAACTATGGATACACTGATATGAAAATTTTGGCCAATATCCAATATTCAATATTAACTCATTCACTGCCATTGACTACAAAAGTCGTCATTTTTAATCCAACCGTTCACTGCCAATGGCGACTGCAGCTCCTGGTATTTCAGCTACATTTTGTTTTTAGCCCAACAGGTGTCGGCCTGCCAGTTGAAAATGCGGTATTCAGGCCACAGGGGATGGTGGGGGTCTGAGTGACATTTCATTAAGCCTGTAAAGGGTCTTTTTAGCACATACTGACTCAAGAAAATGATTTTTTAAAAAGTTGCATTTAAGACTTGGCTATAAGAGATTTTGCTTATTTGAAATAACTTGAAACAAACTCGGACAACAATCTGAGTCTCAGGAGGTTATAAAGGTCATAGATTAGTCAGTGATAAATAACGGCATGTTTCTTTTTTACTATGATAACAAAAAGAGGTCTGATTAGGGGTTGTATCGACTAGTCAACTTCACTGCTCTGTAGTGACTTTTTATGCCTGTCATCGACTAGTCGCTGTCACGTGAAAATGACAGACAAGGTGCAGTCCTCGGAAAAGACAGCAGGTGACGAGCCCCTGTGCGTCAGATACCGACGCGCTGTGCCATTTATGCATTTTATGTATAAATGTTGGATATCTTTATATTTTGTTAAGACAGATATCTCTTTTCTTACTGGAAGAAAAAAATAGAGGAATTCTGAAGTTAAAGGACTTAAAAATGTGAATAAAAAATAAATGAGGAAATGTAAATCTACTTCATTTCATGAGTGTAAAAAATATAAAGTAGATACAAATTCAAATTAAAAAAAGAAAGGAAAGGAAAAACCATTAAAAAAAACAATATACAGGAAAAAACACATCATTGTGAGGCCTATCCATTCCCAAAATGACCTAAAACCTAGAGGATATTTTAGCATTTTGTTTTCCCCACATTGTGTCATTTTTATGCAGCTATTTGTGTAGCACATCTGGTGTGAAAGAGATCTGCATCAAATCAACCACAGCAGGACGACACACAAACAGCGCCAACAAAACCATCCCTGTTACTCATCTGCATACTGGTCAAACACGGTCCTTGCTTCAGGTCATTTATGTCTGTCTCCTTTTGGAAGTCCTCAAGGGACCAACGAGACATGCCTGTGTGCTTCCAAAATCTTAATGAAGCAAAGCCTCTGAAGCCACGATCCTGTGGGATCACAAAATCCTGCTCTGGTGAAAGCGTGATTTCCCCGACTCACCAACGTTCTTGGAGGCATCCCAAAGGACAAGCTGCTGAGTGCTGTAAACAATTCTACTACAAAAGGATCCAACAATTTCTCTGTAGGGGAAACAATCACATCTGCACCAGCACAGAGCCACCAGAGACAATTTAACGGTATCCCACTGAGTGTTCGCTTTGCCTTTGAACTGAGTGAGGTGTGACATTATCGGGAAGAGTGAAAACGCGGGAAGTTTATTCTGCAGTTTTCCTTGAAATCTCAGTTCAGAAAACTGATTTTGATGCAGAAATAAAACAACAAACAACTTTAACATAGAATGTGCTACAACTAGTTCATCTGTTGTGCGTGTGGGTTTGTATGCGTGTGCATGCTTGTGTGTGTATGGTTGTGCATGTATGTGTGTGCATGCATGTGTGTGTGTATGTGTGTGTGTGTGTGTGTGTGTGTGTGTGTGTGTGTGAGTGTGCGCGCGTGCATGTGTGTGTCTTTGTGCGTGCATGTATATGTGTGTATGTATTGGTGTGTGTGTGTGTGTGTGTGTGTGTGTGTGTGTGTGTGTGTGTGTGTGTGTGTGTGTGTGTGTGTGTGTGTGTGTGTGTGTGTGTGTGTGTGTGTGTGTGTCGGCTCAGTCTTCTCGATCCCCAGTGAGTCGTGACAGATTTGCTGCTTATACTGAGCCAGGGTCATCTGGAGGTTTCTTCCTGTCAAAAGGGAGTTTTCCTCTCCACTGTTGCTGCATGCTTGCTTAGTATGAGGATTACTGTAAAGACACTGACACTAGTCAGTGACTCGATGCAACCTGCTGGGTTTTCTTGCACAGGAAACTTTTAATTAATTCCTAGGCACTCAAAGCTCTACTCCATTAGTCACTCGCACATTCACAGTCTGCCGGAGATGGTAAACTACTAAGTAGCCACAGCCACCCTGGGGCAGTCTGCAGAAGTAAGGCTGCTTTTTGTGCCATCTGACCACCACCAACAACATGGGCAAGTTGGGTGAAGTGTCTTGCACAAGGACACAACAGCAGAATACCCTGGCTGCACTCTTCTGATCACAAGGTTCTACCTCCTTAGCTACTGCTGCCTTTGAACTGAATTGAACTGAATTGAACTGAACTGAACTGAACTGAACTGAACTGAATTGAACTGAATTGAATTGAATTGAATTGAACTGAATTGAATTGAATTGAATTGAATTGAATTGAATTGCATTGAATTGAATTGAATTGAATTGAACTGAATTGAATTGAATTGAATTGAATTGGATTGAATTGAACTGAATGTCTGGTCACGTGAAATTAGCTGAAAAGTAAATCAATAAAATTAGATTCTAATGTTGTTCTTGTTAGATAGTTGTTGATGTTGAATAATGTTGAATAAAATGTTGAGAAATTCTAATCAGAAACATCATTGTGCCTCAAAATCTGCAGGATAAAACAAACATTCAGTTTTGTCCTACAGAATAACTCTGTGCAGCTTTTTTTGTCATCACACACACACACTCGCAAAAATAATGACATTCTTAGAAACAAGCCAGATTTTGTTTTTTGTGTAGAATGTACTTCAGTGGAAAATGACAGTGAGTGAATAAATATTACACTCAAAACTAGGTAGAACATAAATGTGATTACAAACCCTTGGGTTGAAAATTTTGCCCTCCATTTTTATTAGATAAATGCGAAAAACATTATGTCCCCGTCTCTTAAAGACGAGTGGAACTTTCTGCTTCCTCCTTTTTGTCCTAATTTGACTTGAATATTTTAATGTTATTGTTCAGACATGTGAGGGAGACCCCACTGATCTGCTGCAGAAACACACCCAGATAAAGGTCACTGTGTGTTTAACACCAGACAGCACGGGGCTTACTGGGTAAATACTGTATAAGTTAGTGTCTAATCTCTAATAACATAGTCAAAGTCTAAACTGTCTAATGTCTATAATTTCTATCAGTGTTGGATCATGGTGACATTTACATTCTCCCCTTCAGCTCCTCCTCTGAAGCCCTGGATGCTGTTTGTTAGTCTGAGCTGTGATTTATCACCAGTGACGGTTATAATACTCATCACTGTGAGCTGCATGCTAAAGAAGGATGGCACTTCCTCTCTGTTGGAAGTGACAGGGGTTGGGTTTAATTATTTATAAAGCCTTACATCCTTTAATGTCGAGGTTTGTCAAAACACTTCAAAGTGAGTGGAGCTGGTTTGTTTTAAGGAACCTGTTAAATTGAATTTCATGCACAATTTAGAATGCTGATTTTTCTTTTTGATGTATTTGAAATTCATTTCTGATGATGAAAGCTGCTGAACTCACAGATCATTTTGCTAAACTGTTCTTAAATGGCTCATTATTTTACTATTAATTTGTTCATAATCAATATTCTTGTTCATTGGTGTGGGTCGCTCTCAAATGTTTCTTCTAGTAAACGAGGCCACCAAGACTTTGTTTTCAGAGTCTGAGCCAATATTCAAAAAATTAGAATATGATGCAAAAGTTCATTTATGTCAGTAATCCAACTTAAACCTTGAAAGTAACCTGTATTTGTACAGCGCCTTCTTAGGGTTCTACAACCCCCCAAGGCACTTCACAACACAATCAGTCATTCACACGTTCACACG